CTTCTTCCACATAGTCCACCCACCTGATACGTGGCAGCATCCAAATTAGAAAGAGCGACAAACAGAAGATTATTTTGAATCGTGTACAATCCAGAAGGTACTGCCAACTTCAGGGTCTCCCACGGCTTATCATAAATCTCCTCCCGTAATTGTCCTCTGAAAACGGACCATCTGTACTTCGACTGATGAAAAACAACCACTATACAAGCGCAAACTTTAAAAATCTCAGCGAACACTACGGCAGTAGAAGCAATATACATCTGATCGCCTTCTTGATGAAGCGTTCTCGAGTATCTCATCGTAAGAACTAAAGATGAAGTCTGGAGTACTAGAACACCAAGGCAAACGTGTTTGAGTGAGAGGTTCATCCCTAGAAATACTGAAACATTCAAATAAAATATCGACAAGGATCAATTTACACAATGCGAAAATTTATAGCAAAATTACAACCCACTGCACTGCAGTTCAATATAAAAATTATATAGCGCACATTCCGTACAGAACAGAACAACTTTTGCAAGCAAGAACTTCAAATCTACGAGCAGAGTGGATAACGAGAGACATGCAGCGGCATCTTAAAGACTCAGTCTTTAATCACTTCCCTTTCAATTCTTACAATTACAAAGAATAGAAGTTATCATTACCTCGGAACGAAGTCGACGCGTCCGCCATATTGGGAAAGTTGTAAATCTTAGGGCGGCAACCGCTGGTCGTTGACATTGAACTCTTTCTTCGTGTCCCAAGTAACGAAAATCAGCTGAGAAGAACGCTTGGTCGCTGATCAAAGACCCAAGGACTCAATGAGAATGTAAAATTGTGTTTCAATTTTAGAAACAAGCTTGCGGAAAAGACAGGAAATGCAGGTTAATCTTTTAAGCGAAAGGGTAGCATTCGGAAAGCATTCTTCAATGTTGTAAGATTGTGTTTCCTCAAACTAGAAGATTTTGAGAGGCAAAAACATTTTCTTCTGTTCTGTCAAACCGACATCGTCTGCTCGAAAGGAATGACCGAACCCAGTGGACTGAACACAACCATCTGGAACTGGAGCCCCGATACTTTGCTAAGACAGAGACACACCTTCCCCCCCCCTCCCCACCCCCTCACGTATCAGTTTGCATTGCAGTATCTCGTCCG